GCTTATGCTCAAATAAATTTGTTAGTCTCTAAGGTGCCACAAGTACTCTTTTTCTTTTTGCAGATACAGACTAACACTGCTGGTACTCTGAAACCAGAAAAAGGTTAATAACTGTTTCTTTCTGTCCCACTGGAAATTTTAGGACTTCAAGATTTTATTTCAGCCTGAATTGGGACAAAAGGTCAAAATCTCAGAATTTTTTACAAAATGAAATATATTGAAATCTCATTTTGACATCATCAAAATGTTTTGTTTCAGTAAGGCTGAAAGTTTTCGTTATTATTTTGACTTTTATATTAAATGTAAAATAATGCTTTGATAATTTCTCATCAAATATTGAGAAAAATGATGTTCCTGCAAAACTGTTCCATCAGAAAATTTTAGACCAGCTGTAGAATTAATGTCATGCAAATCCTTCTCAATTTACTATGTTTTTATTATTTATATAGAGCTTACAGTTTTGTAGGAGCTATTTAACACAGGAACACAGTCTTCATACTTGTCTGTTCTAAACAGATAATTTAGAACAATCAAAAAGTGAATGGGCAGCCACAAAAAGTGGATGAATGTGTGTTGTTTTACTTCTACGATTTTTATTTTACACACATTTCAATCTATTGAGTTCAGTTTTAAGGTTTTCATTTATTCATTCATTAGAACTCCCATGCAGGATGTGAAATATAGCCTGGTCAAATAATGAAAGTGTAGATTTATCACAGTTGTAAAGTTTATTGATTATCACAGGTTCTTCAGAGGTTGGCTACAGAGAAGTTTCACTTTGGTAGTGGGATTGAAGTAATTTTCACTAGAGCTGTATACCCTTGATGAGGACTTTACATAAAAGCCAAATCAATATACTTGTTATAACTAAACAGAAAAACATGATGAACAAAGTAATTGCTTTGAAGAGCATTAGCATAACATACTCACATCTTAAAAACAGAGATAGAAGTCCGGTGGCACCTTAAAGACTAACAGATTTATTTGGACATAAGCTTTCGTCGGTAAAAACCCCACTTCAGATGGACATTTTCCAATTTTTCTACATCCTTCTTGTAGTGTGGGGCCCAAAACTGGACACAGTACTCCAGATGAGGCCTCACCAATGTCGAATAGAGGGGGATGATCACGTCCCTCGATCTGCTGGCAGTGCCCCTACTTATACATCCCAAAATGCCATTGGCTTCTTGGCAACAACGGCACACTGTTGACTCATATCCAGCTTCTCATCCACTGTAACCGCTGGGTCCTTTTCTGCAGAACTGCTGCCTAGCCATTTGGTCCCGAGTCTGTAGCGGTACATGGGATTCTTCCGTCCTAAGTGCAGGACTCTGCATTTGTCCTTGTTGAACCTCATCAGATTTCTTTTGGCCCAATCCTCTAATTTGTCTAGGGCCCTCTGTATCCTATCTACCTCTCCTCCCAGTTTAGTGTCATCTGCAAACTTGCTGAGGGTGCAATCCACGCCATCCTCCAGATCAGTAATGAAGATATTGAACAAAACCGGCCCCAGGACCGACCCTTGGGGCACTCCACTTGATATTGGCTGCCAACTAGACATGGAGCCATTGATCACTACCCGTTGAGCCCGACGATCTAGCCAGTTTTCTGTCCACCTTATCGTCCATTCATCCAGCCCATACTTCTTTAACTTGCTGGCAAGAATACTGTGGGATACCATGTCAAAAGCTTTGCTAAAGTCAAGGAACAACACATCCACCGCTTTCCCCTCATCCACAGAGCCAGTTATCTCGTCATAGAAGGCAATTAGATTAGTCAGGCATGACTTGCCCTTGGTGAATCCATGCTGAGTGTTCCTGATCACTTTCCTCTCCTCTAAGTGCTTCAGAATTGATTCCTTGATTTTTCCAGGGACTGCGGTGAGGCTGACTGGCCTGTAGTTCTCTGGATCCTCCTCCTTCCCTTTTTTTAAAGATGGGCACTACATTAGCCTTTTTCCAGTCGTCCGGGACCTCCCCCGATCGCCATGAGTTTTCAGAGATAATGGCCAATGGCTCTGCAATCACATCCGCCCAACTCCTTTAGCACCTTTGGATGCAGCGCATCCGTCCCCATGGATTTGTGCTCTTCCAGATTTTCTAAATAGTCCTGAACCACGTTTTTTTTCTCCACAGAAAGCTGGTCACCTCCTCCCCATACTGTGCTGCCCAGTGCAGTAGTCTGGGAGTTGACCTTGTTCGTGAAGACAGAGGCAAAAAAAGTATTGAGTACATTAGCTTTTTCCACATCCTCTGTCACTAGGTTGCCGCCCCCATTCAGTAAGGGCCCCACACTTCCCTTGACTTTCTTCTTGTTGCTAACATACCTGAATAAACCCTTCTTGTTACTCTTAAAATCCCTTGCTAGCTGCGACTCCAAGTGTGATTTGGCCTTCCTGATTTCACTCCCTTTCATGCTCGAGCAATATTTTTATACTCCTCCCTGGTCATTTGTCCAATCTTCCACTTCTTGTAAGCTTCTTTTTTGTGTTTTAGATCAGCAAGGATTTCACTGTTAAGCCAATCTGGTTGCCTGCCGTATTTACTATTCGTTTTACACATCGGGATGGTTTGTTCCTGTAACCTCAATAAGGGTTCTTTAAAATACAGCCAGCTCTCCTGGACTCCTTTCCTCCTCATGTTATTTTCCCAAGGGATCCTGCCCATCAGTTCCCTGAGGGTGTCAAAGTCTGCTTTTCTGAAGTTCAGGGTCCGTATTCTGCTGCTCTCCTTTCTTCCTTGTGTCAGGATCCTGAACTCGACCATCTCATGGTCATTGCTTCCCAGGTTCCTACCCACTTTTGCTTCCCCTACTAATTCTTCTATGATTCTCTGATTAAAAAGGAGTTGCCAAATAGCAGGAAATTAACATGCGTACCACTTACTTCCCAAAATGGAAGAGGTTCTACATGTGGTGTCACAACAACCATATACCAGCACTTACAGCACCGATTCATTCAATTTTGGAGTATATTACAATTGAAACAATCAGTCTATCCATTTGTTCACATAGGATACACCTCGCAGTCATAACCGCTTTCCATAACATGATCGATGGTGTTTCATCCTTCACTCACCCGATTACGAAACACTTCCTCACAGGCATTCAGAACATGTATCCTGAAGTTCACAACCCTACACCACCATGGGACCTAAATCTGGTCCTCAGAGCATAGGTGCCGACTTCTACTGGTGCCAGTGGGTGCTCGACCCCCCTCTGCCCCTGGCTCTGCCGCGACTCCACCCCTGCCCCGCCCCCTCCCGTGCCCATTCCAACCCCTTCGGCAAAGTTTTCGCCCCCTTCCTGCCCCTATTCCAACTCCTTCCCCAAATCCCTGCATCTTCCCCACCTCTTCCCCGATCGCGCCACATTCCAGCTCCTCCCCATCCCTCCTGGAGCTTCCTAAAGCTATTTGGTGGCAGCAAGCGCTGGGAGGTAGGCGGAGAAGCTGGGACGTGGGCGTGCTCAGGGGAGAAGGCAGAGATGAGGTGAGGTGGGGTGGGGAGGGGAGCTTGGTTGCCCGTGGGTGCTGATTTTTTTTGACCCCGGAGCACTTATGGCGTCGGTGCTTATGCCTCAGAGGCCTTACCAGAGCCCCTTTCAAACTACTTGCTACCTATTCTTTACTCCATTTATCAATGAAGGTAGCATTCATGGTTGTGATCACTTCAGCAAAAAGGATAGATGAAACAGGGGCACTCATGGCCCACCCTCCAGACACCATATTCTTCAAAGACAAGGGACTATGTGACCACATTCAAAATACATACAGAAGGTACCTTTATCATTCTATCTTAATCAGCCCATCCACCTACCCGCGTTTCACCCTAAGTTGCATGGGTCTACACAGGAGGCTACTCTCCACACTCTTGATGTTAGAAGAGTACTAGCATTCTACCTAGATAGAACTAAATCTTACCAAAAGTTGCCGAGACTCTTAGTTTCCACCACTGAACGATCGAAGGGCGCAGCCATTTTGAAACAAAGACTACTGAAACGGATCTCGAATTGCATCCATTTATGTTACCAACACCAAAATATAGACAGGGATCAGAGCCCATTCAACGAGATCAGTTTCGACCTCGACAGCATTTTTACATAACGTTCCAATCAGAGAACTATGTCACGCTGCCACTTGGGCTTCCATACACACTTTCACAAACCACTATGCAATAACACAGAGCTCAGAGGCTGATGCAATCCTTAGTCTTACGGTACTAGACTCAACTGTACAGACAACTCTAAAACTCATTCTTCCATAATGGGGCACTGCTCTACAGTCACCTGGTGTGGAGCACCAACAGAGACCGCACTTGAAGAAGAAGAGAAGTTTACTCACCTTGTGCAGTAACTGAGGTTCTTTGAGATTTTTATCCCTGTGGGTGCTCCACTACCCTCTACTTTGGAGTTCACAGGAAGGACTCTACAGTAGAGAAGGAACCAAGGGGGTCGGGCCTCATGAGTGCGAGATGAAGTGTCAATGGCACTGCGAGACAGCTACTGTGCACATGCATCCTGACCAGACACTGCTACTGAAAATCTCTGATTGGAGACGCCGGGATGCCCCAATACCTGAAGTGGAGCACCCACAGGGGCACACATCTCAAAGAACCTCACAAGTTACTCTCAAGATGAGTAATCTTCTCATATCTAATGAGATCAGAGAAAGCACTACTCTGCTTTTATTCTAAAGTAGAGGGATAGAAAAATAATCTATAATTTACAATGAAAACTGAAACAAATACAGAAACTCTTTATGTACATGAGATACGGGGTTATAGTGATATTGATTTAAAATCCATTATTCACCCTGGGTTTAAAAACATGAAACAATCTCTAACCACAAATACTACATTGCATTTTGTTCATTTAAACCAAAGATGACTAAGTATTTCATGATATGTCATTATATAATGGTTTGGATTCCATGCAGCTTGTCTTCAAATAAGATTTACTGACGGAAAATATAAACCAGAAGGATGTTGTCCTTTATTTTTCAGAATTTCAAATGAACAAGATGTCCTAGAAGGTGTAAGTATGCTGTATTTTAAAGTTAAAATTGTGAGTTTCCTAGAGCATAGTTTGATGGAAAACCCATTGTTTTATGGAAGACAGTGATTAAATTATTACTGTTTATCCTCATCGCTTCAGCAAAGGGAAAAAGGTTTTTAAAGAGTCAAAATAAAGCCCAGAAAAGTCACATATACCCAGCTATATCAGATATAACTGCAAGAGAAATGGACTCAGACTAACATTTACACTTTCAGGAACGTACTATAAAATAGGGATGTAAAATGTAAACCATTAGTTAAGCATTAGTCTTACCTGTTAACCCGCCTTAATAGTTAACCCCAGGGCCAGCCAGCTGGCCCCAGCGGCCCTGTGCCACCAGCCAGCCGAATGATCCTAGCAGCCCTGCACCAGCTGGAGTGGCCTCAGCCCCAACCACGCCGGCAGACCGGATCAGCCCCAGATGTGCCGGCTGGTCAGCCCTTTAATTGGTTAACTGTTTAAACAAAATATTTTTTAATCATTTTAAACAATATTTATATCCCTACTATAAAAAGAGGACTAATTTAATCCAGAACTATTTTGCTTCCACTGTAACGGGAAAAAAACCTGAAAATTGACAGGAATGCCTAGACAGTAAATTCACAAGTCCAAGAAATAGAAGACTTCAAATAAAGAAAGTCTGGGAAAAATTAAGGGCTTGAACCTGCACAGTGCTGAACATCTCCCTTAGCAGTGCTGAGTAGAGCTGGTCAGAATTTTTCCAACAGAACATAGTTTTATTGGAAAACACTGATTCCTTATAGTGAAATGTTTCACAATTACTATTACAGATTCAATGAAAATTTCATTGAAACACAGGCAACTTTCCATTGGAAACCCTCACGGTGGCAGGTTGCTTATCAGTCCATGGACATTAAGCTGGAGCCAGGGTTGTGGGGGCGGGCAGGCTCCCCGATCCATTGACAACAGCCCCAGCTGGAGCCAGGACCTTTTGGGTTGCTAGGCTCCATAATAGGGAGTCAGCCAGAGCCCATGCTGGAACCAGGACTCTGAGGGTTGACACCCTGGCAGCAGCCTTGAGACACCTGCCTGGAGCTGGGACTCTCAGGGCTGCTAGGCTCACCGCTCCACAGCGGGAAACCTGCTTGCCCTCTCCCCTGCCCCTCCCTGAACCCCAGCTGGAGAAGGGAGCCTAGCAGCCCCAAGAATCCAAGCTCCAGCATTGGTGGAATCTCCCTCCTGGAGCAGCTAAGTGATATAGGCATGCCTGTCAATTTTCATGCAAGTTGTGCAACTGACAAAAATGTCAATTTCACATTTTGTTTCAGGAAGACCATATTTTCATGTTTCTGAAATAATATTCAGGAATCTCCAGTTTTCCAGGAAATTTTGGCAAATTTGCTTTAGTTTCAAATTGGGATGAAAGCAGATTCAAAAATACCAAAACCAAAATATCCAAGTTTTAGCAAGCTCTAGTACTGAGTACCCTCCACCAATTTCAAAGAGCGCCCAGCACTTTCCAGGATTGAGTCCTGGAGTATTTCTTCCTCTACATTTAGACATTTCAATTCTTTCTTATGTAACAGAAATAACTATAAGTAAGGCTACGTTTTAGTCACAGGTATTTTTAGTAAAAATCATGGACAGGTCAAGGGCAGTAAACAAAAATTCACGGCCTGTGATCTGTCCATGACTTGTATACTTTACCCTAAATCTTGGGTGCTGGGGGGGGGGGGGAAGATGGCCTGGGGCGCTGCGGGTGCTCTGGGGAAGCAGCCCGGTGCTGGGGGGTGGCAGGGTTGGGAGTCTCCCTACCTGGCTCCACGTGGGGACCCCTGGTGGTGTTGTGGAGGGTTAAAGGGGCTGGGAGACTCCCTACCTGGCTCCATGTGGCTCTCTGGAAGCAGCGACATGTCCCTTGCTCGACTCCTAGGTGGAGACGTGGCCAGGGGGCTCAGCACGTTGCTTCCGCCCTAAGCACCATCTCAGCAGCTCCCATTGGCTGGGAACCGAGGCCAATGGGAGCTGCAGGGGCAGTGCCTGCAGGCGGGGGCAGCACGCAGAGCTGCCTGGCTGCCTCTCTGCCTAAGAGCTGAGGCAGGTACACATCTCTGCTTTGGGGACGCTCCCCCGAGGTAAGTGCCACCCAGAGCCCTCACACCCTCCCATGCCCCAATTTCTGTGACTTCCGTGATCTCCATGACAAGCTCGTAGTCTCAATTATAAGACGCAAACTGAAATCAGGATATCTTGTTCTTGTAATTAACTAACATAATATGTCTGTGCTTAGAAATACCAGAAGATTCAAAATGAGTATCAGTTGCTAGCAGAAGAAAAACTGATAATGGAGAATGAAATTCAAAAGATGAGAGAGGAAGAAAAGCTAGGGGTTAGTATAAACATACAAAGTGGCAAAAATAAGTCCATTGTTCAAAATAGCAACTCTTGATTGATAAAAATGTCTTCACAATGTCTTGTGTTTATCTAGTGTAAGTAAATACAAGAAAATATAGCATCTTCTCTCCTGCTTTTTTAAACACTTCTTTTTTGAGGTACTGGTATATAGTGTCACTTGGGAGTGCATCCTCACCCTCAGTGGTGCTGAACTTTAGGACCCTTCTGGAAAGCATAGCCCTTTTACCTCACTGAAAATTTTGAGCCCAGGCTGTTAAAAAAGAGGCCCCATGGATGCCTGTAGTCTCACTTCATCCCTTTGCATGACAAGCTGAAGATGTAGGGACCTTCTCTGTGTGCCTGGAGTGTTGTTTTTTTTTAATTTAAAACTTCCCTAACTTTTTTTGTTCTATCGTGTGCATGCTGTTGCACACCTAGAGCTAGATTGTAACAGCAGTCTCGCCCTATTGTACATTGGTGTGTCACCCCAGCAGGAGTGCAGAGAAGGTGTCATGGATTTCAGAGTATCGTATGTTTTGAAACCCTTCTGCAATCTCTAGTGAGTGCATCCTTTCCAGTGATAGACTCTGTGGCTTCACTTCACTCCAGGAGAATCCTGCAACACTGCCACTCTCAGACAAGGTTCCTAGGCTTCAGCACCCCTGTTTGAGATTGTTCCATTAGAGGGGCCAATTTAGGTAGCACCACTGCAGGAGTCACCTTTCTTGGGAGCTTTGTAACAAACAAACAAAAAATAAAAAGTAAACAGCAACACAGGTCAGTATTTGTAAAACAGTATTATTTTATGGTCAACAGAAACACAGTAGTCAGAGATACGGGTTACAATCACAAAGAAGGCCTATTCACTGAATCTTACTTTACCTTTTAGCTTCTCCTTGCTAGTCAGCCCATGCAGCCTTGGGTTGGGAACAGATGCCTGCAGCCCCTGCTTCTGGCTCCCTTCCATCATCTCTCCTCTTACAGTTTCTCAGGGCTGCTTTTTAACAGAACCAAATGCCCTTTGTTTAGCTTTTCCTCCTCAAGGGTCATCCCCTCCTTTATCCTAAGCCAAGAGTGTCTGCCTAGTCTGCCCAACTAGGTGGGAGACAATATTTTACAGTTGTATGACTGGTGAAGCATGATGGGTGATACAGTTAATTCAGATCTCTCTCTCTTCCTGTCTCCTGCATGGATAGCTCTGGACAGGAGTTAGCCCTTTGAGTCCAAGTAGCCAACAATACAAAAGTGGGTAGGTAAACTGAGTCACATTTTCTTTAAAAATGCCAAAATCTTCCATATGCTTTGCAGAAGGAATCATGCCTTTGAAATACAGATCTTTCTCTGCTCCCTCACTTGCTTCAGATCAGGACCAGACCAGTAACAGATTACAACCCCCTCTCTGTACTGGCTACTCATCGTTAGATAGAAACAAGGCTCTTCCCAGTCTCCAACCTTCCCTTCCTACTCCGTGTCCACCTGCTTGGAGGGGCGAGTACTAGGAGTACAGTGCCCATTTACCTCTTTACATCCCTGGATCCAAGGTCAAGGGAGGTGTCACAAATTAGTGGATCTTACTTTGCCCCATAGCCTCATCCATAATTTAGCCCTTAGTTTTTGCCAGGACTTCTCCTTTCCCTGGAAACCTACCTACATCCCTGTTGTTTGTTCTTCCTGGAGGAAGCCCAGACCCTGGATTGCTATGTGATGTGTAAGGACTTCACACCTCAAACCCTCCCTAATAGGCAGTGCAGGCTTTTTACCTTCCTCACCAAAGAAGCCTTGTGGAAGGGCATCCTGGAGGAGCCTTCTGCAGGGTTTGTACTTCAAACCTGTAGATCAAAAAGCATAAGTCTCTTCAGTTTGAGTGAAAGGACCAGATCCACTAGCTCATAAGCAGTAACAAGTAGATAAACCTCTGGGCTCTAGCTACTAGAGGAGGACAAAGAGACACATTGTTTTTGTGTGTGTTACCCTTTAGAAGCCTTACTCCTGGTCTTCCAGACTGTAAAGTAAGTGTTCTTATACCACAAGAGTTTAAAAAAAAATAAAAACCACTTCAGAGGGCAGTTTTCTGACTGCCTACCTGACAGATTTTCAATGCAACTGAGAGCTGGTCTTTATGGCGATTTAGTGCTGGCAAGCTGGGGTGTGAATCTACACACCTCCCTGCTGTAGACCCTGCTATTGTTCACTAAATTTTCTGTATTACATAATCCTTACTGTGTGGCAGCAGGGTCTGCGCAGCAGGCTGATGAACTGTAGATTTACATCCTGGCTTGCCATACTCCAAATTGCAGTATAAGTTAATAGACTAAGTCCAGAAGGCACCATCGTGATCATCTACTCCGGGGTGGGCAAACAACGGCCTGGAGGCTGCATCCAGCCATTTTAATACGACACTCAAGCTCCCGCTGGGAAGCAGGGTCTGGGACTTGCCCTGCTCTGGTGCTCCAGCCAGGTAGCAGGGTTGGGAACCTCTCCCCATCCTTCCAGAAGCAGCAGCATGTCCCCCCTCTGGCTCCTATATGTAGGGGAAGCCGGGGGTTCCACTCCGCATGCTGCCCCCACCCCAGGCACTGCCCCCACAGCTCCCATTGGCCATGGTTCCCGGCCAATGGGAGCTGCAGGGGAGGCACCTGCAGATGGGGCAGCGCACAGCAAAGCCGCCTGGCTGCGCCTTTGTGTAGGAGCCGGAGGGGGGACATGCTGCTGTTTCCGGTAGCTGCTTGAGGTAAGTGCTGCCTGAGCCCATGCCCCAACCCCTGCCCTGAGCCCCTTCCCACCCTCCAAACCCCCCAATCCCAGCCTAGAGCACCCTCCTACACCCCAAATCCCTCATTCCCATCCCCACCTTAGTGCCTGCACCCCAGCCGGAGCCCTCACCCTCACCCCATGCCCCAACCCTATCCCTGATTCCTCTCCTGCCCTCTGAACCCCTCAGTCTCAGCCTGCAGCACTCTCCTACACGCAAAACCCCTCATCCCCAGCCCCACCCCAGAGCCTGCACACTAGCTTGAGCCCCCACCCCACACCCCACCCCCTCTACCCCAGTCTGGAGCACCCTTCTGCACTCTGAACTCCTCATTTCTGGCCACACACCGGAGCCCTCACCCCAAGCCAGAGCCCTCACCCCAAGCCAGAGCCCTCACCCCCTCCCGCACCCCAACCCCAATTTCGTGAGCATTCATGGCCCGCCATACAATTTCCATACCCAGATGTGACCCTTGGGCAAAAAAGTTTGCTCACCCTGGTCTACTCTGACCTACTGTACATTGCAGACAACAGAAAGTCATCTACCCACTCCTGAAGTTCTCAAATCATGATTTAAAGACTTAAAGTGACAGAGAATCCACCATTTACTCGAGTTCAAACCATCCAGTGACCCAGGCCACATGCTGCAGAGGAAGGTAAGCCCCCCCAGCCCAATGTCTCTGCTAGTATGACCTGGGGGGAAAATACTTCCTGATCCTAAATATGGCAGTCACTTAGACACTGAGCATGTGGGTAAGACTCACCACCCAGACACCTGGGAAAGGAGTCTCTGTAGTAATTCAGAGGCCTCCTCATCTAGTGTCCCATCTCCAACCATGGGAGACATTTGCTAATAGCAATTGCGGGTGGACCCTATGCCATTGTAGGCAATCTCACCATACCAGCCCCTCCATAAACTTACCAACCTCAGTCCTGAAACAAGTTCGGTTTTTACCCCCATTCCTGGTGGAAGGCTGTTCTAGAACTTCAGTCCTCTTCATCTGATTTCAAGCCTAAACTTGTTGACGGACAGTTTATATCCATTTGTTCTTGTGCCAACAATGGCCTTTAAATAACTCTTCTTCCTCTCTGGTGTTCATCCCTCTGATGTATTTATAAAGAGTAATCATATCTTCCCTCAGCCTTCATTTTTTAAGACTGAACAAGCCAAGCTCCTTAGGTCTCCTCTTGGAAGGCAGGTTCTCCATTCCTCTTGTGACAAAGTTCCTCCTCTACCTTGGTGGGTCCTGCACTTATTGGCAGATTTGCTCGCTTCAGAGGTTCACAGCAGCCCTCAGTTTGGTCACTTTCGTGGCTCAAATCTGCCGTTCACTCAGTTAGCCTCATCACTGGCCAGCATGGGGAAAAGGAAGAAGAACAATCCCCGCAGTCTCTGCTGATCCACCTAGTGGATCGGGGAACAGTCCAGAGACCTTCCTCTCTGGTGGAACCCACAGTCCGGGTCAACTCCTCCGGTACCAAGTAGGGAGTTGGGGGAATGGAGGGATGGGGGGAACTCAGGCCGCCCTCTACTCCTGGTTCCAGCCCAGGGTCCTGTGGATTGCAGCTGTCTACAGTGGCTCCTATAACAGCTGCGTGACAGCTACAACTCCCTGGGCTACTTCCCCATGGCCTCCTCCCAACATCTTCTTTATTCTCACCACAGGACCTTCCTCCTGATGTCTGATAATGCTTGTACTTCTCAGTCTTCCAGTAGTACACCTTCTCACTCTCAGCTTCTTGTGCCTCTCGCTCCCAGCTCCTCCCAACACCACAAACTGAAGTGAGCTCTTTTTTAAACCCAGGTACCCTGATTAGCCTGCCTGTCGTAATTGATTCTGGCAGCTTCTTGATGGGCTGCAGGTGTTCTAATCAGCCTGTCTGTCTTAATTGTTTCCAGAAAGTTCCCGATTGTTCTGGAACCTTCCCTGTTACCTTCCCCGAGGAAAAGGGACCTACTTAACCTGGGGCTAATACATCTGCTTCAAAAAATCACTCTCCTGTAGCCATATGGCCTGACCCTGTCACACTCTGCTCATATTAGCAGCCTTTCTCTGCACCTGTTTCAGTTTGAATCATCTTCCCTAAACATGGGAGACCAGAATTGCACACAGTATTCTTGGTTAGGTCTTACCAGTGCCTTGTACAATAGTAACAACACTTTCTTATCGCTGCTGGATTGTATTTGCCTTTTCCACAGCTGCACCACATTGGCAGCTCATAGTCATCCCATGATGGACCAAT